ATGTCCATTTAAATTCACGCATCTACATCAATGTAAATTGCCAAACTATTGCAACAATTACTCTAAGTAAACTTAAAGTTTCAAAGGGATGATTCTGTGTGTTCTTAAGTAAACATAACGTTTCAGTAGCAAGCCTTTCTTTTCGGGAGTCAAACATCAAAATGTATTATATTTATTATTGGTAAATCAAAAAAATTCTAAAATAGTTGCTGTTGAATAACATATGTAAGAAATCAAAAGTGCTTGTTGAATCGGCTGTGAACAAACGAAAAATGAGTTTATTCACAACGTTCACTCACTCAATGAGTCTGCGTTTTCCGCAGCATCTAAAATTAAACAATGACATTGTGAAAAGATATAAAACTCTAGAAAATTATACTCAATAAAAAACGAATGCTGAAAAATTACAATTGAGATTGATTTTGTCAAAGTTGTAAAAGAAAAAAATTTAACAAAATTTTATTATTCAAATAAACGCAGGCAGTTGCAACTATTGTGCTTAGAGTTTATGGTAGTGTAGTAATTCGATTAATAAATTCTGTGAAATGTAATTATTTAACAAGGGTTTACAATACACACTACGACCATTCGTCATTCAATAATTACATTACACCATGTTATGGTATGCTGTGACTCCACTAATCAGATAAAACATTTTGCTCAAACGAGTGGAATGTGAGCTCAAGTTAAGATCAGATCGTGTATATGCTAGAATAGAATTGTGATTTCTAAATGAATATCAATCAGAATTATCAATGCCTGTTTCAGGAATTCGTATTGCATTCGAGCTCAAATATAGACAGCAAATTATCACCATTTGAAATCTGCGTACAAGACAACAAAATTAAACTCAGCTAATTTAAACACAAATATAAAAATCATGCTGTTTAAATCACTGTATGAAATGAAAAAAATACCGTGAAAAAATACGAATGAACTTACCACAAAAAATAAGACAACCAAGAAACAATGATGTAATGCTTATCAACGACATCTCGGATAGTTCGATGGATGATAGACGAACGACAATTCCGATTATATAGCATTCAGCCAAAAATCGAAAATAGGCAGTAACCAACCAGATATCGCCAACAAAAACTGAAGACGTGGAAAGTAAACATTGGTGATACAAAAAATCTTGCAAGGCCACATCAAAAGAAAAGAAGTAATCATGAGTTAAATGCGTGCTATTGTAAAACCACACATTACTTTTTCTGACCTACTCATATGCTCATATTTAATAAAGTTCGCAAATTCCGTAAACAATGCTACTATGAATAGATGTGTATAGTTGTGTGAAGATTTTCTTTGAAGCAAAGCCAAATTTTATTTGAAATTTCGTTCAATAACCACAATACTCTCAGAAAACTTAAACACACGATGCTTTGCAAAAGAACCTGTTCGATCACTTCGGTATCATTGAAAGATACAGAAAACCATTCGAGGAAGTAGGAACAAAGAAACTAGCTGACACATAATAACATGGAAGTGGACGAGATGAAACCGAAGCGCAACAACTACTGGAAAACACATTGGACAGCAAACAAACAAGTGAAATTAGGCATCAAATCTGATCAGCGCAAATCGGTGTAACTCGCATCAATTTTAGCCTCAAATGCTGCAGGACGAGGCAACATCAGAAAACAATACCATTCAACGAAGAGGCTCGCAGCAATACATCACACACTAGAACAATCAATGAAGAACAAGCAAGGCGAAGAAATCATCCGCGTGTCAGTCATTTGAGTTCAGCACTATGGAGAACTCATAAATCTACTAGCTACACCTACAAGTCACACAATCCATGTTCACCTACCAGACATTGCTGAAATCACAGTGTCCATTCGATAGATCTTGTGTGGCAAAAAAGTAAGAACGGACAACATGTCTGTTGAGGCGTTGAATGCAGAAAAAGCAACAAGTGCAAATATGTTCCAGTCGCAGCCTCAAAACAATTCATTGTTCCACAAGCTTTCACAAACCTAGTTTACATGATCGAATTTCAGTTCTCATCCTGTCAAAATTAAAATCCATCTTCATTGGTTACACAATCGAAATAAGTGCTTTACGACTTGGTTACAGATAGCGAACTAACGAATAATATTTAAGAAGAACTGGAAATTGGATCTTTATGCGTCGATTGCTTAAGGAATGTTTGTTGGCAGCAAATATTCCATGTGGTGTCACAGGCGTAAGTTAGTGGGTGGAATAAGTGTTATTTTAAGGCCATTGATAATTGAAGAATGCAATTTCATACACACATAACTTCCATGCACTGTTGATTTCAGTGAGTAAATATTTGTTGACTAACGAAATAGTCAAGAAAGTTTATTAGATTTCTAAACAGACGACCACCGTCATGTTTTCAATATAACAGCAATTCAACTTCATTTATTAAAGAATTTTCAAAGGTGAGTGTTGGTCAATGTTATCGGGAAAGCAGAGAAAATCTTGATTTACTGCAGCGAGCGGTCTATAACCCTTGAATTTTGAAATAATACTGGTCTGATCGTCAGTTCAAAGTAGCAGCAATCGTGATAAGACGAAACTAGCTTCATAGATTATGAAATTATTGTCCATTCGGCCAAATCATGAGTAACATTCTGTAGGATCTATATATTCATACTGAATGGTCATGACGTTGCGAACAATCCATTCTCTGCCAGTTCATTAGCGTTGAACAAGTAATATTTATCAAGTTGCCGTGTTACCGTCATTCCATGTCAGCCATCAATGCGTGTTCTTTCACACCATCATATTTGGCCGAATTCATTTTCACACTATTAGACTAATTCGTATATCCAAGTTCATAAGTGTTTTGTGAACAAATTTTACTTGCTGATTTGTTGTGAGCTACTTCATCCTACGCTCGAGTGCAATTAGTTCTGTTAAATTGAATGTGTTCTCGATAATGCTGTCTGACCTTAACTTGCTATTTAAAATTTTGAATAACTCATTTTACGAAGTATCCCCACTAATTACTGGTATTACATCAAGGGTATTCGTGCTCTAAAAGAGCAACAGCTTATGCTAGTGAACGAGTTTTATACAGATTTCAAACAGCTCAAAATTATCCATCTTTGTCATGAAGTTCTCATCGATGAATCGCATCATCAGTTTATAATAAAAGACAGTGAAACACACATAGTATTTAAGTATCAGGTGTCTTCCAATGTGATCAATAAGTTTCACCATTTGTTCGCGTTAAGATCGGAATGAAACGAACGAAAAACATAGTAAGTTACTGCTTACGAATGACTTTGGATTGACGATGAGCGTTTTATGCGAGACCTACACAGACAAATTCTTGAAATTGGAAAAGTAAGACGAATACTGATAGCTCTCTGAACTGTTTACCTCAGAAAGTTCATTGGGTATGATTCACACTAGCTGGAACACAGTTACACAGGTTTGAAGGTCATAATAAAATGCCTGTGAATTAGAGGTTGATTTTTGTCCATTCATACCTTCTCAATGGCACATGATACAACCGCGATGATATTCACAAATGGGTTTTGTCTCATTCCTAATTCCTAGAAGAATTTCAGAATACTCGTTATTCTTGAAAACGTCTGTACACTACAGTCTGCATAGCCGATTTTACGGGAAGGAATCTGAGTAAACTTTGATGCATGAAGTGTATCTCAAACACTCAATCTAGTCATGAACTGAAGTACTCGATGAAGCTACACTGGTAGTGGCAATCGAAGGAACCGCACTTCTTTGATGCCGTATGTTGCCTGAGAAGATTGCTAACATGATACACATATTTTATGACTAATAACATCGGTCAACTGTGCTTAGAAAGCAGCCTGCCACTGCTTTCGAAGTGAGTATAAGTGTTAGACAAGATGCTCACTCACATATATTGTCTTTCTTTTACCATAAGGCAGATGAGATTCTGCCTGAAGAGGAAATGGCGAAGAAGCATTTCACACAGACATCAATCGTCTCAACTGAATATTTCACAGGATGAATCAATTTTCAATAAGTAGGTTGTAGTGGAACTAATTCGCTAAAAAAACACGATTACTGAAGTATAAATACTTATAATTGAACATATGTAACAATAACTGTTTTATTGTACATCTTTTGTTTATCCGTACTGAAAGTCATTATTCGAGCGCCACCCACGCCATCCCTTCGGATCTATCGATCGCTTCGTGTTATCATCGATTGTACGAGCTGAACACGTGATATTATTCTGATATCACTCGAATTCTATCAATAAAAATCGATATCCTATATATAATCTTCTGTTCTGGAATAAGTGTGGGCGTGTAAATTTCACGACCATACATTTTGGTGATCCCTTCGTCTACAACGCGCTATTAACTTGCATATCTTCGCCACAACACGATCAAACTCGGTGAGTCTGTCAGTTTTCTATCCATTTATCTTAACATTTATTCTGTTGCTTAAATTTTCATACTTATATATATAATAAACTAGCAACAGCGATTTCATCTTAATTAACAATGGATAGCGCCAAATGTACTGATATGACAGACTCCCAGATCCAGGTCCTTAATTTTCGACCTGTCTCCTTCCCCACTATCCAGATGTCTGGTTCGCGACACTGGAGACTCAGTTCGAGATCCTTCGCATAACGAACCAGCGGCTCATGTTTGCCTATGCCCTGAAATCCTTACCTATTGACCATATAGCGGCTGTCCGTGAGGTCATCCTCAACCCCAATGCCCCAGATGCCTACAATCGACTAAAGGAGGTGATTCTCCAGCATTTCCTCCCGTCGAAGGAGGAACTTTTGAGGACTCTTTTAGCACGTCACCCTATGGGTGATGCTAAACCTAGCCACCACCTCACGCGCCTGCAATCACTAGCAGGACAGATAGCAGCTAATTCAGATATAGTCAAGGAGCTGTGGAATACTAATCAACCCAGATAAGTGCGAACTCGGCAAAGCAGAAATTTTATTTCTGGGTCACGTTATTAAGCATGAGGGTATTTTACCACGTGAAGATAAAGTACATACAATCATGGAGTACACTGTACCGTCTTCACTCAAAGAACTGAAGGCTTTTCTCGGTTTGGTCAACTTTTATCGACATTTCATTCCTCATGCCACGGAACAGTTACGACCACTAACCGATCTACTTGGCGGGAATCCACGTAAACTAGAATTGAACGATGACGAGCGTACTGCATTTTCCGAAATTAAAAAAGCTTCAGCTCAAACCACGCTCCTCGCCCATCCCGACCCATCAGCCACGCTCAGTATAGCGGTTGACGCATCCGATTTTGCTATAGGAGCCGTCATGCAACAAAACATCTCTGGAAGTTGGCAACCTCCCGAATTTTTCTCACGACGCCTTACTACCACGGAGATGAGATACAGCGCTTTTGGTCGCGAACTGCTAGCAGCCTACTGTGCCGTCAAACATTTTCGGCACACAGTAGAAGGTCGTTACTTTATCCTTCTTACCGACCATAAGCCTCTAACGTATGCTTTTCATACAAAATCTGACCGCTACTCACCACGAGAACGCAGACGTTTGGACTATATCTCTCAGTTCACGACAGACCTTCGTCATATTAAAAGCGAGTCGAACTACGTTGCCGATGCTTTGTCACGTATTCAAATAAATGCAGTTACTTTACCAGTGCTCGCTCTTCCTGCTATGGCCGCCGCCCATGCAAACGATCCTTCTTGTTCAGAAGCACAACAAAATACATCCCTTCAGTGTCAGGAAGTGCTTCTAGCTACTACCTCAGACACTATCCTATGCGATACCTCTAACGGTCTACCTCGACCCATCGTACCCTCTGCTTATCGTCGTCTCGTCTTCGATGCCCTTCATGGTTTGTCTCATCCAGGTATCGCAGCTACACTACGTCTCATCGCTGCACGATACGTCTGGCCTTCCATGAACAAAGATGTCCGTATGTGGGTAAAGCAATGCTTACAATGTCAACGATCAAAAGTGCACAGGCACGTAGCCGCCCCCATCGGCACATTTGCTACGCCTGATGCTCGCTTCGATCACGTTCATATTGACATTGTATGACCATTACCACCATCGCATGGGTATGATCACATACTCACATGCATTGATCGTTTTACAAGATGGCCCGAAGCTATTCCCATCACTTCTATTACGGCGGAAACAGTTGCTCACCGCTTCGTAGAATGATGGATAGCTCAGTACGGTTGTCCCTCGACTGTCACAACTGACCGAGGACAACAATTCGAGTCCGAACTATTCTCCTCGCTAACTCGGCTGCTTGGTACGGAGCGCATACGCACTACCGCCTACCAGCCAGCTTCAAATGGTCTAGTCGAAAGGTTTCATCGTCAACTCAAAAACGCTCTTTGAACACACGAAAACAACAATTGGTACGAAACCTTACCGCTCGTCCTTCTAGGCATCAGAACGAGCTTAAAGGCAGATATTCAATGTTCCGCCTCTGAATTGGTATACGGCACGACATTGCGTCTGCCTGGGGAATTTTTCACACCACGGAGCAGTGATAACTTCAATAAATCAGACTACGTCCAACGACTGTCTGCATTTATGCGAGCACTGCCTCCGGTTTCAACTCGAGTACAACATCGACAGGACGCTCTCTCCCGAGAGTTATCTACCTGTTCACATGTTTTCATTCGAGTCGATTCGGTACGCAAACCTGTGCAACAACCTTACGAAGGACCTTTTCACGTGATTTCTCGTCACGAAAAGACCTTCAAGGTTGCTCGACATGGCCGCGTCGAGATAGTCAGCATTGATCGTCTCAAGCAAGCACACGTGGATGACAGTGCCCTACTTGCTAATCCGAGACACAACGCTACACCTAGCGGGATCCTTAAAACTACCCCGGATCCCACGCTAGCGAAATCAGAAACCTCATTCTCACGTCCCGGTCAGCAGCACGCGCCATCTGCACTATCTACGGATGAGACTCCGGTCTCACGTCCAGATCAGCAGACCACGCCGCACTTGACTGTGGATGAGAATGAAGGCTGACAAGGTACGCACGAGGCTACTGTCTCGCGTTCCGGTCGCCGCGTACGCCTACCTGTACGCTTTCTCGAATGACTACTACTAATCCTCCACAGGGGCGGCATAGGATTTTACCATCATACTACACGCATGCTACACGTTTTCTCCTTTTCTTTGATTTTTTTATCCCGAGCCTATACTTCCGACCATTGTCCTTTTGGTACCGTCGACTTCAGTCAAACTTGGCGAAAGCTGGCCTGATCACCCGCGCTCTAGTCAATGCATTCAGTCGATCTTCTGGGTACGAATATATCTGGTATACGAATGGTTTCGCACTGGTCGTTTCTGGCTCTTTCGCTCAATCTGATTCCGTCCTACGTCTGCAGCTTTATTTGGTCCGAACCCCTACGAACGCAATCATCAGACTCTGGATACGAGCCACGCTGGTGTGGTATACTAATCCGATGGACGAACTTGGCGCGTAATTATTGGCACGTAGCGGACAAACTCCCGGCGACAACTCGAGCTTCATCAGTCGCATCCTGTCGTCAAACATTCTGCCCGTCAACCGAATTTCGGCCGACGAGCCCCCTGAACGAAGCCGCTACTTATCGAAAGTGTGAAACCCCTTCTGAAGGTAGGTCTCCTGTAATGGAACTATTTCGTTGAAAAAACACGATTACTGAAGTATAAATACTTATTATTGAACATATGTAACAATAACTGTTTTATTGTACATCTTTTGTTTATCCGTACTGAAAGTCATTATTCGGGCGCCACCCACGCCATCCCTTTGGATCTATCGATCGCTTCGTGTTATCATCGATTGTACGAGCTGAATACGTGATATTATTCTAATATCACTCGAATTCTATCAATAAAAATCGATATCCTATACACAATCTTTTGTTCTGCAATAAGTGTTGGTGTGTAAACTTCACGACCCAATAAGGTAGTCAGGAAAATTTCCTAGGATCCTGAACACAGACTTTATATTTAACTGAATGCATTACGAATTGAACGTTAAACTAGAAATACAGTAGTTATTCAGTTTACCAACACGTTGTGGTGATGTTGTGGTGGACCAATCAATGTATTATTTCAAAATATCAACAAAGTTATTGAATACAAACAGATGTATATTGAAATATATCGATTAAATGTAATAAATACAATCACAAAATGTAAGGACGTTACTTTATACGGCTGCTTGTGCGTGTTCGTATGTGATTGGTACTAAAAAATCCACAATTATAGAAGATCAGTAATACAATTAATGTAAATATCCGTAAGGTAGTTTATACGTATGACTGTAGTCTATAAATGTAGACAATATACGTATTAGAATCCGATTAGCATATTAATGAACGAATGAGAACATAAGTTGTGTGTATAAAGTGTATTTGATAGGCTCAGGCATTGAGTGCCGTGCTACGTGTACAACAGAACGGAAAAATCGGGTAGTCAACGTTACTTGTATCCAAGGTAACACACTTAAACAACATGTACAATCATTTTATAGTAAATGTACAAACAGTCGAAAATTAACAGAATAAATTCAAAATACGTTTGTCATGCCATCTCCACATAGCTCCCCCCAGAGTGTCCGGAGGTAACACTGGTTATATTAAAAAAATAATATGTGAGAGTACAGTGTGTGCATTTGTGTATAATAATTAGAAAAGCAATGCAGGAAAGTGGAGTATGGTATGACATGTACATTAATATTATACAACACGTTAATTTAAAAAAAAACTAGTGTGAATGTTGCATGGCATGCCAAAAAAAATAGGAAAAATACAGTCATACAATGTTTTGGTTGGTTGATAAAAAAAATAACAACGTGCAAAACTATTAATAAACACACAAGAAAATTGAATTGTTTCTTCTCATGAAAAAAAAATTATTATTGTTATTATTATTATTGTTATTATTTTCTTTTTTTTTAAAAAAAATAGAATTAACTCGTTAATTATAGTGTAAAAAGAATAATGTAACAATACGAGTTATTGCAAAAAGAAAAAAAATGTGGTTTATTATATGCACGTGTTAGAAGACCAAAAGGTTATAATAGTTTTTATTTAGGAGATTGAAAGTTTTTTAACAATATAATGTACATTAACAGCAATTTGTTGAATTCCGTTTTCTTTTTAATCAGCGAAATGTACATAGCGTTTAGGTTTATTCACGGCTCTGCCAGAACGTGTTAAACAAGTGGGTTTAACGGTCGGTTTCTGCTCCTCTACAGCTTTCTTGTGGCTTTGCAGGAGGTTTTGTTTATCGGTGGTATTGTCTTCTTTGTCGAGTTGAGTTTCGTAGAAAGCTGGTTTAATTCTATCGATAGCGATAGTTTCCTTCTTTCCACCTTTGTTGATTATAAAATGTTTATTAGTTCGTTTAATTACTTGATATGGTCCATCATAAGGTTGTTTCAGTGGCTTTTTAACCGCATCGACGCGAACGAAAACATATTTACACGTCGTCAGATTTTTGTCAAGGTGTATGCGGTTATTATGTTCCCGCGGCGGTATGGCTTTTAGGTTCTGCATAGTTTGTAGCAGTCGACTAGCGAATCGGCCTGGGTCACTTGGTGCCGACGTGTCCGTGTCAACCAATTGGCCTGGCAATGTAAGTGTTGTGCCGTAGACCAGCTCAGCAGAAGTACATCCGATGTCCTCCTTGATGGTTGAGCGAATTCCCAGGAGTACGAGCGGTAATGCGTCGCTCCATTTCGTCGTGTCAGCTTGTGCCATCAGTGAGCTTTTTAATTGGCGGTGAAATCTTTCGACCAAACCATTAGCTACTGGATGATAAGCTGTGGTCTTGATGTGGTTTACTCCCAGTAGTTTAGCGAATTCCTGGAATAGAACGGATTGGAACTGGGGACCACGGTCTGTAGTAATAATTGAGGGAACTCCGTAATTAGATATCCACCGGTCAAGAAAAACTGCTGCTACCGTTTCTGCCGAGGTATCTGCAATCGGACATGCTATCGACCATCGGGTGAATCTGTCAACCGCGGTGAGGATATGAGTGAAAGAGTTGGATGGTGGCAATGGACCAACGATATCTAAATGAACGTGTTGAAAGCGTTTGTCAGGAAGCGGAAATTTACCAACAACACTTAATGTGTGTCTTTGTACCTTACTACGTTGGCACTGTAAGCAGCTTCTGGTCCAACGTTTTACATCCGAGTTGATTTTAGGCCAGACGAAACGTTCCGTTATCATTTTAGTGGTGGCTCGTATTCCCGGATGCGAAAGTTCGTGTAACTGTCGGAATATTTGTCGTCGACAGGCTTCAGGTACAAAGGGACGCTGATTTCCAGTTGATACGTCGCAGATTATCGATGCGTTGGAGAAAGGGATAGGTACCGGTCTGAGGATCAAGTTAGACTTTTCTTTGCAGGCTTCTAGTTCTGCATCGTCTACTTGAAGTTTAGCAAGTGTTTCAAGGTTAATATCTGGTTTGCGTACCAGAGTGTTGATATCCCTGCGTGATAGTGCATCGGCGACGACGTTGCTATGTCCTTTAATATACTGGATGTCTGTGGTAAATTGAGAAATATAGTCAAGTTGCCTGGCTTCCCGAGGTGAAT